TCTTCGGCCTACCTACGGTCACAAATCACCACTGCACATGTACCACAACCCCGACATTCCTGCTTGAAATGACTACTTTTTGGCTGGGCCTCCTTGGCCCTTTCTTTCCTTTCTATTTCACCTGGGGTTGTATTATTGAGCTCATGTAATCCTTCGTGTAGCTTGTAATGTACCTAAAAGATAAGGCGAATGAACTGGTGTATTAAACGAAACGAAAGCGATACAACGTACATCAGTGAAGCAAATTGTAAAAGAAGCTCCTTATAAAGACTTTCTTAGCGTTTTTTGGCACTCACCAAATCAGGCACAACTGTGAGGCATGATCGGCTTCGCGACTAGAGCGTGATCGACATGACACATGTGACGAAAGTGTAACAATTACGATTACGGTACAACAAAAAATAGCACTGCTCATAATTGGTCCGGAATATTTTTGCATAAATAACAAATTTCATTGAAACGTATAATTTCGCCAGCTTCACAGTGCACATCGTTGTTTATTTAGGTTCAAATGGCAGATATAATGACAGCTCTTCATTACATTTTAATGGCAGAAATACCACGAAAAGCGATCATGAAAGGCGAAAATCTTACCGCTTTGAAACAATGGGTGCATGCTTTAAAAATGGCAAGTTTTTAATTTTTGTTGCTTCATATTACAGTTAATTTCAAACATTGTAATGTAAAAACGAAATGCAAACGAAATTTTTTGACAGCAGCTTTGCAAGTTTTTTTGGATGAAACTGGACGTCACGGGTTTTCCCCTATTTCAGTATAAGATCTTTGAACGGCTTATTAAATATACTTCTACTGCCAGCATGAATCGGGGACCCCATGTTAGTGGTGTTCTTAGAATACTTGTCTGAGTTATGCCAAGCCCTTTTATTTGAGCAAAATTTCACTGCCATGAATAGAATCCAGTACCTGGACCAACCTTACTTTTTCACGACGAATAACGCGTTATCGTTAGTAAGACCTAGGAAGCGATCCAATATCTTCCTTATGTTCTGCTTGTAGTTCAAGATATATAACACATTTGTTTGCGTATCTTCGTGTTGCATTTAGGTTTACGAAAGTACCATAAGTGCGTTCAATTCGCTTACAAAATAAGGCATTTTCAGTATGTGCCAGGAAGTGTGCCAATACGAAGGTTGTTTTATCGTTTGGACAATTGGATCAAGGACGTGCCAAATGAAGTCACGGCTGAGCAGTGGTTGGCAAAAGTAAAAGAGATTCAGGTATTATTTCAAGTTTTGACTTTCTGAAGTGCACGAGCAAGACCGACGTACCCGTTGTAAGCCAATATTTTCCGAAATGCGTGTCTCCAAGGCACAACCAGCGGTCTGACGATTTCCGAAGAGACGACGCTTACGCGGTAAATAGAGATGCCAAATGCAGTTTATACATTTCGGCTCACCGCATTTCTCGAGTTAATTCTCACTTTTGTTTAGCTTTTCTAGTCATTTTCCTTTTCTGTTTTTTCTTTTTTCGCGATTAGTTAGATGGTGGTGAAGGAAAATGGGGGATGAGGAAATAGAGCATTAGGCTAGAAGAGGAAGGAAGCATGAATGAGGGTACTTTTTCCACTGTTCTTTTTGGCTATTTACTCCGTTTTGGTTTTTTTACCAAAACATACTTAAATATTTCGATACTTTGACCAATTACAATCACAGCTCAGTCTTCCAAATATCTTGCAACTTTCATCTTTTTCACTTACGTTGACCAGAGCTGCATTGCCTAGTGGTCATCCTTTTGGCGGTTCTAGTGTTCGTTTTGGTGACTCAAATATGGGTTATTAAACTGAAAGGTATTCATTTAAAAGGAACAAAACTGAATTTATTGTTTCTGTAATGCCTGATTTTCACTTAAAAAAAAGATTTTTTGCTATTAAGTCATGTCGAAATTCTCTTACTAGTGAAAGAGATCGATTGTACAGCAGAAAGCTCTGTTTTTATTTCAGTTGGCTAAGATTTTGAGCTAATAGCCCTATATTTGAAAAAAAAAATTTAAAAAATAAGTGGTACAACACATGGCCTCATAGCCATACATACGCTTGTTGGAAAATTCTGATTTTCCTGCTCGCGAAAATTCTTTATTTCACAATTTCCGTTGTTGGCTTTGACCATATTTGCTAGTTATAGCCCAGATATGGGCTTTTTTCGACTTCCAGCAATATCAATTTTTTCCACTTATGTGTTTTAAATGGTGTATACAACGTATTTTCGAAAACAAAAGTATATTTACATACATTTTTAGGAACAGCTTGGTCACCCACTTCCGAAAAATACCACATACATGGCATGTCGCGGATCAAAACCACATCTTCGTGGATTTTCCTGTGGAGTATGGACAATCATACATGCGATGAGTGCTCAAGCGTATAAACTCGAACAAAATAGTAAGTGCACCATCCAGTTGCTAGTGATAATTGTTGTGGGACAGATAGAAACATTTGGGGAAAATACTTAATTCATGCTTAAATTATTTAAAAAATCCGTGAAAATGCTTAAAAAAATTTTTTTTTTGAAAAAAAAACGTTCCGATCAGAATACGTTTCTTCTTCATATCTGTTTTGTAGTTTTCTTGATTTTATCGTTAGAAATGAAGAATACTCAATCCTTTATTTTTTTTTTTGTTTAATTTCATTTCTGATATTTTTGCATTAAAGAAAATTCGTATGTGTAACCACATGTCCTTTTTCTCCTTCTGCCTACAAAATGCAGAATTCTTCGGTAGCAAAGAAACTGAAATTTTAGAAATTTGGTCGACATGACCACGTTCATCCAAAACAGCGAGTTTGTTGCCCAGGTCCTTCTGTGTCCTGATATATGAAACTGCTAGGAAAACGGTGCTGCCGCCTTACCTATACGACGTTTTCTTCGTTCCAGCGTGTTTTCTGTGGTAGTTATTAATAAATTTGTTGACTAGTTTCTCAATTTACAGATCCGCAGTTTAATGCTAACGATGATTTGATCGAGCCCTTCCACCAGTTTATATGGCGCTTCTTTAGCTGCGCCGAATGTGCCAAACATTTCCACGATGGAATTTTGAGACGCAATATGTCAGCTGTTATTACTCCTGGTAAACTATCAATTTCTTGACACCCACTCTTATACTAGTATTCCAAATTTTGAGTCATTTTTGCCGTCCATCCTCTGCATATTTAAATATCAAGAGTGCCTGAAAAATCAGTGTAAGTATTCTACGTTAGTGATATTACTGGGATGCATCTTTTACTGCAAAGACTGCATGACCACGCTTGGCTTTTTTGCATCTGCGAAGCGCTCCAGAAAAACTTCAAGTGGATATCTCGGATTTTTCGACCAAAAATTACGATAGTTGATACTGAACTGAAATATGGGCATTTGATTTGATGTGTCTGATTTAAATTACATCTTCAGTTTTTTCCTCAGACAGAAAGTACGTCTTCCAAATGATACAGCGCAATGCGAAATAAAGCTTAATACAAAAATTTCACAGGGGATGGTGTTTTATGGCTTTGGAGGACGCATAATATTGTCAATAAATTCATTGCAAAAACACCAACCGATGATCCGGCCTTCCCGAAACACCAATTTCCATCAGCTTCACTTTGTCCAAGTTGCCGTAAAGCAGATGGCGAATTCGATGAAGCAGCAGTACTGAATTTCTTGGTCAATTATTACGGTGACCTGAAAGCAGATGGTCTTATGGTGAGTCCTCTAACAACACTACTCGAACAAATTGATCAGCTACTTTTTTTTCCATTTTTTTTCTCTTTGATGCCAACAGCAACCACACGGTGGCAAGAGTCTTCCTCTTTCGAGGGTTGTTTACAAGCAGACTGAGGGCAAGTTTGACTCCCTGGCATGCGTTAGTACCAGTTGTTCATTAAAACGGATCAAAGAGGTGTTAGTTTTCCCAGAGTCCTTTAAGACTTTTTTTTATTCGTCTTAAAATGTATTACTTGTAAACTCGGTTGTTTATTTGTTTTTCATTTGTTTTTTCCATATTTTCAGTTTCATAGTACGATGAACAAAAAAAATCAGAATGGGTTCGTAAAATCCGTCCTAAACGTCTGAATAATTTTTCCAAGCTTATTCTGTTCCACACACACTGGGACTGCTTGTTTTTTGCAAGATTTCCAAAATCTGTCGCTAAGTTAATGAGGCAGATGGATCTGAGTTTTTATATATGTTGTAACTACTGTCAAATTCATGCAAAACTTCTGTCAATATGGATTCAGGACCGAATTCCAGGCGCATGTCCTTAGTTAGTCTTTGTATTCGTCAGTTCTTCGTAATAAACTTCCTTTTTTTTCAGTCAGCTCCCGGTTATCGAGTGAGCGAGTTTGAGGATGGCAAATTGGTGAATGCTGAAATGAAGCGTCTGAATCCGAAATTCCAATTCAATGCGCTTAACGTGGATAAATTAGAGGAAGCCGAACAATTAAGTCATAATGGACTTAATCAAGGGTGGAAACATCCTGAAAACAGAGGTGCTTTCTTAGCCAGTAAAAGAATGAAGCGTTTGGAAGATTTTTTAGCAGTAGACATTGATTGATGGAAAAAATGCAGCAAAAAAACAGTTTACATTAATAATTTTCCGCCAACCATAAAGCAGAGAAAATTTTATGTTATAACAGGGATAATGATATCTCTATAATTTTTTTAAATTAACTTAAAAAACATCCTT